TATGCAGAGATACAATAGCAGATAAGAGTGACAATGAAACTAACTGTAAACTGGACTTATTACGAATAGCGAAGACATGTTCTATTGTTCCTCTATATCGGATCTTCTAAGCTCAGCCAGTCAACGCTACGCATCAGCGCTATATATTGTTACAATGTGAACAAAAAACTCCGTTATTACAGCAAAGAAAGCGCGCCTAGTAGCCTACAAACAATTGGGAGCATTTCTAGCCAGTCTCTACATAACTGGGTAGTGCGATCCCTCGTGCAATGGGCAGAACTGCTCAATTCAGCGAAAAGCCGGCTTCAAGCTAACCCTAGGAAAGGAACTGAGTACTGGCGTTGGGAAGAGGGCAGCGAAATTGCAAAAGTGCGCCGCGACGCGGCGTTTGAGCGCTTCGCGCGGATATCCGGCTGCAGATCGTCAAGGAACGATGCAAAAACCCTAACCCTAACACTAACAATAAACCGACTCGGTTATCTTATATACGCGTGTTATAGTACCAAACACTATCTATGGCGGTAGATAGCCACTGACGTCACACTGACGTCACGCGGATACTCTGTTTCATGGAAACATATGCCCACCGGGAACTAGTTTCGCCTTCCCCCTCCCCCTCCATGTTTCAATTCCATCCTGGGGAGAACCCTGTATATATATTATATAGCAGGTAGGAAAGCGGGCTGCCAAAATTCGCTCGGCACTTGCTGGATTTCACACTATTACAACACAAATCTTCAACCATTCTACTCCATCTTTGTTTCTTATAAAAATTTCACTTATAAAAACATACTGTCTCCGTTCGTAACCGAGCTGTGTCACGCGAAATCACACAAAGACTGACAAAATTCTCGTGTTCGCTAACGCTGCCCAGTAAATGTAAATGAGTGTCAGAATCAGGAAATACCCACCGGCGCTCTTCGTGACCTCATTCTTGCGCCGCAACGCTGCAACGTTTTTGCAACGCTCCAATTAATGGCGAGGCTCGTATAGGAGTTGGAAAGCAGTGCGCTGCCTATAGCCCTTAGACTGGTACTCGCTCCCACCTCTCGGCTTAGCTTAGTTACTCGATGGGTAATCGAGGTGGGAGCGAGTACCAGTCTATATAGCCCTGTACTTGCAGTCATTTACATTTACTGGGTAACGTTAGCGAACGCAAGAATTTCGTCAGTCTTTCTGTGATTTCGTGTGACACAGCTCGGTTACGAACAGAGACAGTATGTTTTTATAACAAGTGAACACTGTTCTTGAAATAGAAACAAAGATGGAGTAGAATGGTTAAATATTTGTGTTGTAATCGTGTAAAATCCAGCGAGCGTCGAGCGAATTTCGGCAGCCCGCTTTCCTACCTGCTATATATATGTGCCAGTGTGCACAGTGCAGCCGTGTGAGCAATGGCGGCAGCCAGTGTTTGTTGCAGATGAGCATTTGGATGGAATTTACAGGAAACTGTCGACAATAATAGGCGAAACTGAGAGTATAGAAACATTAAGAATTTGGTATTAAATAGATTTCGTATTTATTTAGCATTATATTTTATTGAAACGCTTCAAGTGCCTGTGGTTGGTTGCGCTGTGATTGTGTGAAACGAAGCGAGCATCGAGCGAATTTTGCGATCACGCTTTCCCACCTGCTCTTTTTATTGTTTGTTGTTGTTGTTAATTATACTTTGTGTTGCAGAGGAGCATGATTTACACAAAATTATCAGTAATGATAGGCGAAAGAGAGTAGAGAAACATTCTGTCATTAAGACATTGAGCCATCCTTTTATTATTGAAAGGCCTGCATGTGCACCATTGCCATTGGCATTGGCATTGCATGCATAATTGGCATTGCCATTACATTACTGTCATTGACATTACTCATTAGTACTGACCGTACGCTCGAACATGAGATAAGATGAGATTTGCGCCTAGTTTTAAACTCACAATACTGAAATAATTCAAACATAACGCGTGTTTAAGCCTCACCTATGCAATGATGAATAAACCTTTAGAAGACGTTCAGTTATACTTCTAGAAATTTGTCAACACTCATCGTATCCATAACCGCCATCTCGCGGAATGAAACACAATCATCACAACACATCCTGGGGATTTCGCTCTAGACTGGTACTCGCTCCCACCTCGATTACTCGATGGGTGATAACCTAAGCCGATAGGTGGGACCGGGTACCAGTCTAATTTCGCTCGTACCCCACCAATACGACCAGTCACCGGTTCCATACTATATGAACGTTATACGACCCCCCAAAATGGGATACTGAGAGACAGAAACGTGCAGAAACGTCAAACTCTGACAGAAGCGTGCAGGTATAGTTGAAAAGGTGGAGGGGAGGGAAGGGAAATGTTGGGAGGTACATAAGAAGAATGAGACCGAGGGAGGACCCACTGGCCCCAGCACATCCTGTAAGCACACCAAGTAATTTCTTGTTACGTACATCTCCTTTCTCTAAATGTACCTTTACTTTTAGTGCCACTGCTTTGTGTCCGTATGTGCAATAACGCTGAGAGGGTCTATGTTCCCCAGGGTACTGCCGGAACGTACCCTGGTACTATCTAATATGCCGGACCGTACCTCGCCTACTCCACTACCGAGTCTAGGGAATCGCCTACGTCTACTCCCTAACCCTAACCATATCAGATAGTTACCAGGGTACGTTCTGGTATACCGGACCGTACCCAGGGTATGTTCCGGCAGTACCGTAGGGGACATAGACCCTATGAGCCGCAATAACTGTTGAAATAACTCTCAAGAATTTATAAATGTATCAAATTATAGTAAATATATGTGAAGAGTGCAAACGAAACTAAAAGATTTCCAGTTTCAAAGTAACTACAGTATATTATGAACTTTATTACAAATATGAAATACCCTTGATACCAGTTTACATATAATTCAAAAAGGATACATGGATTGAGATGACATTCATTAAAATTGCACAGATACAAAAGTTTTCACGAATATTTTTAATTTGCATGATTGTAAATACTAAAGGCAAGTAGTTGAATGAAATCATCCCGACGACATTATAACAATTTTATCAATTGGGTAACGTTCTCATTTAATGCAACTGAATGAATATGTGTTGTTAACATGCTAAAAGACTAAATCTAAATAGTTTGTGATTTTAAATGATTATAGCTATCACAACAAAACATGTTCTCATGTAGCTAATACCATATACAGGTACAGGACTTCCATGCCGTAATCACCAACGTATTTCTGCACTGGGAGATGTAGCTGCTACCGTATACACAAGATTTCTATGCAGTAATCACCAACATATTTCTGTGTTGGAAGCTGTAGTTGTTCCCGCAACTGCATTAGTATTGGTTCGAGGCTTGCTAGCTCATTGTACACGTGAACCTATGAGAAACAATGGAATAACTTACTAAAAATAATTATGTGGCTGTATTCTGTAAACCACTTTACCACATACCAAAAAATAACGTATCATCTAAAAGATGAACCAACAAGTATACTAGTATACCTATGTGCTCACGATATTAGAAAGCTGGCCCGATTCTATCAGGAGTGTATAATATAGAGATATATATCTCTATGGGCGCATTTGTTTGGAACAAATCCGTCTGATCAGGATCACTTGATCCAGATCGCCCCAAACAAACGCAAACTCACTTTCAACGGTTCGCGTTTCGCTGTGACTTATCACGGGATGGTTCATAACAAAGAACAAGATGTGATTGGCTGAGGCGCGGGCCGCCATATTGCATCCCCTTCGAATCCACCTCGCTAGCAGGGTCGGGTTCGGTGGATCGAGATCCATGGATCCGACCAAACAAACAGTCAGATCCACGGATCCAGTGGATCAAGATCCGTGGATCCGACTAAACAAACATGCCCTATGTTTCTATACCACACACTCCTGATTGTATGTACCGTGCCAAACACGGAATATCTATTTCCAATGTTATTCAGGCCAGTGTTAAACATTTGCTGTTTGAGTTTTACTTCTAGGTCCTGTGCACCAGAGACACAATAGTATTAGTCTATAGAAGAATTGTTGAACCCACCTGATCAGAGACAAATGCTACAATCTTTAACAGTATGACATGAGATTTCTTGTCCAGCACAAACGAGCTGAAGTGGGCATCAAGAAGAAGGGACAGCCAGTCACACACCTACAACAGAAAAACCTTGCCTCAAATTCATTTTATCTTCTCCCCTAGATTTTGGTCTGGTGGCTGCAATAGATGGCGCCATTATGCAATGAGTTGACTCAAACCATCTTTAAGATTGAAAAGGTTAAACTGCATGTTTGAATTCAATTAGTGACAGGTGGATAATTATATTTATACTGAAAAGATGGCTGCGATTGGTGCTGCAAAATCTAAAGAACAATTAATGATTGCAATTAAAAATGTGAAGTTATAAAAAATAAGGAATATTTTATCAGATTAAAATACAATTACCTGTGTGATGTCTGGTGTTCCTGTAGCCTCCTCTTTTATAGGGCTGTGCTTTAGCTTACAGTATAGATATTGCAAGAGTACCTATCAAATAAAAAAAAGTTACCCACACGAATGAATGTAGCAGAAGTTCAATACATCTAACAGCAATTCTTTCAATACTAATTCTGCCTCTGTGGTAACAAAAGTAAATATGAATGCTTGGTCCTTTTCCTAATTTATCTATAGATACTTATATGAAACATACTTGAACGTGGACTGATATTATTTATAGAGAATTATTTCTTATATGTCATGGCAATACAAACACAATTCTTATCATATTATACATTTCATCAGGAGTGAATAATAATAAATTATATTACATCTAGATAAACATATAGATCTATTATTATTAACTCCTGATTTCATATTAGCAGTAAAGTATTACAATGGCAGTAGTAACAATACCAAAACACGATCTAGTTGAAGTTTCTGCAGCTCCTGCATGAGAACAACATCATTGTATTTCATCGAGAGAAGCTGGTCTCTGTAACACAAACAAAAAATCCTATATTACTTTGCTTGCAATCAATCATGCAAAATCGACACCACGTTCAGTAGTCCATGTCTAGTGTATCTAATACGTCCATCGTATATATCGTCTATAGTAACGTGTATCTTTTGAGATAAACTAATGAAGCCTATGTAATGAATGTGAACTAGGGAGAAATTAATGTATTACTTCGAGTTGCATCCGACAAGAAGTGTTTGCTCAATTAATAATCGGTTCACAAAATCCCAAAAATATACCTACATGGCTACTGCCTTGCCTGTCCACTGCCTGTAGGTGGCAGGCACATCTGCATCTTCATCCGCTCCATTGTTATTCACCTCTGCTAGCCTATCCACCAAAGGCCCCATGAGAGTGGCAATCTCCTGAGGCGGGGCAACAATTTCGCTAAATGCACCATTTTCTTGGCTAGTGAAAGCACGAAGGAGAATATAAATTATCATAAGACTCTGAATTAGGAAATATGATAAAAATTTCACGTGTATGCATTGCAAGAGCCCTGTGCAAACTCTAGCTATAAGCATTGCTACACACTTTATAGAATAACGGGTGGATTATGGTGTACAAACATAAACTAAAATATGATATTACAAAAGAACTAATCCTGATGGATAGGATTACCTAAGGTAAAAGTCAAGTACTTGAACCATCGTGAAATCGGAAACATCTGGTAGATACTTCATTGCTTCATGCAACAAGTAAACGTCTTTTTTCTGTATCAACTTTGGCACAAAATCTTGCAAGATGCTTGACGAGAAACAAAAATAGAAAATATATAATTGAATATGATTACAATATGACATGACAATATGTTTACATCAACATGTAACTAAACCATATGCCCACCTTCTTGAATAAAAGGCAAAATTACAGCCCATATGCAATAGGAATCACAACATAAGTCCAAATTATTCTTTGTAATTGAAATAACATGAAATCATAATGATGATGTCTCTTCAAATGAGCAAGCATTATATTGGCATGAAGTTTGCACCTGCTTCTGATCAGACCAGATCTGACAAACTGTAGTAGGTTGTCTCTTGGAAATGCTTTTGTATCCAGTAGGCTGCTTTGCAGCAACTGCTTCACCTTAGAGCTTGTGAGGTTGGTTAGGTCTCCTGCTTTCAGCAGACTCTGTAAGAATACCACATTGTATAGTGGCTGCTCTGAAAGCACACTTTCAAGTTCGGAACCAAAATAGCTGGTATAAAAACCTGTCTCCCATAAAATAACCAATTCAGTATGATCAGCTTTCACACATTACTGTGCTATGCTTTGTTTGCTGTCCAGTTAACATTAAATCATAGAATACTCCAACACGAGAAATGTGATATAGAAAAAAAATTATTCTTTGACCTTTACACCGAGGAGAATTACTTACACACAACTTCTCTGTTTCATTGGATCCTCTATTCATAGGATCAACCATGCCTGTCGACATTCCAAGAACAGATGCGAGTGTGGATGGCTGAGACTCATGAGGAAATGCAAGCACGCTGTCAGCACATGGCAGAAACAGCTGTTCACCATTGTAGAACAACTGCACAGAAAAAATGTTAACGACACATTATCAACAGAATGTGATTGCTTAAGTTTTTTAAATACAATAATGTTCTACAATGCATTTAAACGTTCACATTAACTCAACTTCAATTTTATCCAAGTTACAAATAATTTTAAATAGTTTAAACTGAATGCAACACACAATACCTGACTAGCTTTGTGTACTGGCGAGGAGAGTGGTATTTTGTGTACGAGTGTGCCAAATCTCAGGTTCCAAATGCCTAACACATCTGAAATGAGTAGCAACAAAATTGACGTTAAATTACCCAATTCTGTGAGTGTATAGAATAGTACAAGTATATGTAATTCGATACTTCTTTGCGATACCATAGTAGTGGCTAAATTTACCAATATTGTCCAGTTTCACAGGTGCAGCAGCAACATTACTTGGTCCAGTAGAAGTTATGGAAACATTTTTCTCAACTGTACAGGGAATCTTGTGTAAATTGTAATCCATGGTATTTAGACTTTGATGGGTGACAGCCTCCGTGGGAATGCTACACAGTTGCCCATCTGACACTGCAAAGGTGCAAGCATCACTATAGTTATTTACAGCTGTACACTTTCACTAATGTCTGAAATTCTGTATTGACACATGTGAAGATATAATAAAAAACCAAATTACTCACATAGCATCAAAATGTCAAATTTCTTATTGATTGTTTGGTGTAAGCAACAGGAAGATACATGTGTGCCAGCTTGCAGCAAGAGTGGAGCATCTACAGTTTCCACAGTGCTCTGTGGATCTACTAGTGCCTGGATGTATATCTTGTACTCATACTCCTATAGAAATACGTAGACAAATTATTTCCATGGATAGTAACCTAGTAAACAACAATATCACGTTCTTAAACAGGGTTCTCCTAAGGCCTTTAAATGCATGTTGGGCCCAATGCCTTTAAAGCTGAAGCCAATTTCGGAATCTCATAAATCATTAGACATGCCTTAATTGCCTAATCAACATGCAATAATTTCTGTGTATTAACAATCCCAACACAGTCATGATCTGTTTTCTTTGCTTGATGTTTTCGTTTCCGAACTTATCGAGTTTGGAGATCTAGATTAAGTTGTTCCTCCCCCATCTGTGGATAAACTAATTGCTTTTAGATATTCCCAGGGAGAACCCTATTAAACAAGGCTGTAACTTTACGTGCATCAGGCATTTAAAAATTTGTTTGACATTCAGAATGTATTTTTTTTAAAGTGCTCACCTTTGTTTGTGTGACCATGACCGACATAATGTGACTGTTCAATTCGACCGCATCACTCCATACTATGTGTTCAGCAGTTGAGATCAGGGCAGCTAGCAGCTGCTTTCGTTGTGCTACACCAATGCTGAACAACTGAACTCTGCCATTTGCATGGAGTATTATTGGTTCCATGGTTGCCGTGGAGAACAACTGGTGTATTGGCTTCTGAAACTGAACAATGTGACCAAAGAACTAGTATTAAATGTTGTGACTTATGATTGACGTACTAATTACACGTTTGTTTTTGCAGAAGGCATTTTAGAACAGATACTAACATGAGTTCATTATACACAATTACTAAATTTCCTTCAATGCTTCAATTGGAAGAGTGCGATACGCAATGAAATACGTACAGAATATTTCTTTGCCTGCTCAATTTTGGAATCCTTGTCCCAACAATGTATAACCTAAAACATAAAAAGAGTTTGTTTGGGAAATATCGGATTGAAACTTATTAATACTAAATATAATTAAAGATTCGTTCACTGTGTATTTAACAATTTTTAGCATTACATAAGCATTTTAGAAACACTCTAATCTAACTATGATTCCCTTGGCTGGTAATATAACATGTTGTATACATACACACACACATTTTATCGCATTTTAAGGTGCATATATCCCCTTAGCCTATATATCTGGCTCACATTTTTATTGACAACGGTTAAGAACTGATTTCTGTTTGGGCTGTAAACAGCTGGTGCAGTGATGTGATGAATCTGCTTCATACTCCAGCTGCTGACTGTCACTCGATCTTTTACCTGTATCATTGTATGCAATAACAAAAAACATGTTATTGTTAGGCATTTTAACATACTTACATTATAACATTAGCATTTACACACTGTTTTTTTTTACAAACGACACACTATTCGTATTAACTATTATAGTTTGTATATGCCATGATACTGCACCGCACTTGCTGCCACTAGGGATCAGTGATCAATGATAATCATCACGATATGATCACTATATCAGTATCACTATCGCCGCGGAAAGACAGTACCACCACTAGTACTAACACTAATGTTGAGTCAGGAGGTTTATCTTGTGGGCGTTAATTAGACACAAATAATGAGTAGGACAAAAGCCTTGCGTTAACAGAAACCAGCCATGTTTATTTTTCCCCTCAACCTCCATAGGTGGCAGCACATGCCAGTGCTGATAACTTGTTGACACAAGAACAGATAATACAACAACTAACACTAACAGTGATCAGCCTGAGCCTCAGCTTCACTCAGTCACCGCCACTGACCCTCAGGCTCATGCACGTAGGATTTGGACGGAATTGACAGGAAACTGTTGGCAATAATAGATGAAAGAAAGTATAGAAACATTAAGAATTTGGTAGTAAATAGATTTCGTATTTAGTTAGCATTATATTTTATTGAAACGCTTCAAGTGCCTGAACTCGCAGCTAGGGCCTGCATACCTCCCAACTCTCATTGGTTGATACAAGTCACGTGCCTGAAACTCCTGTTTTAATAATTCCTTTTATGGTGCATTGTGACCCTAACCCTAACCCTAACCCTAACCCTAATCCTAACCCTAACACTACTTAGAATTTAATTTTAAAAATTAACTATATTTGTATCAACCAATGAGAGTTGGGAGGTATGCAGGCCCTAGCTGCGAGTCTGTGGCTGTGCCATTGCCATTGGCCCTCACGCTCACTCGGCTCAGGCTCATCCTCACGTTGAATTTTCAATTTACACTGCCTGCATTCATTAATTTTTCTTTAAACACTTCGCAAAAATACTTACATTCTCCACGACAATGTGATGTCTGGAGTGTGTAAATACTAACGTATCTGCATCCAACCCGTGCGTAATTCCAATGAGACTAGATTTGTCAATACCATGCAAGAATTCGTGTGCTTTCACGGGCGCATCCATGTTTGTCACCTCTGACCTCACCGCGACTGTGTCATAAAAATAACGACAGTAACGACACGACACTATCCACTAATCGATCACGCAAGTTAATTTTTTCCCTAAGCGCGAGTGTGCTGTGATTACTTATTTGTATGTGGTATCTATAATATATTTAATAATAATAAAAAATTATATCGATCCGCGATTCGCGATTCGCGAAAACACGCGAGATGATACAATATGTCTGCGCCCACAAGGAGGTGCATTTGAAAAGGACATTCCATAATTTACAATGGAAATGTAGTTACAGAGCTTGTTTAGATGTGCCACTACACTAAAGTATCATATAGTGAGCAGCATGTGTCAGTGAGTGCTTAATCAAATAGCTTACATCAGTGTTATCGAACTTTGCAGAAATCAAGGACCATGTCAATTTTGTTATGCATATTTCACAGTACACCAACTTATATTAATGTTGGCATAAGGGGTGGCCGTAAATTTACACGGTTGATGACTGCTAGATACACGCGTACGTCGTCAACTAATACACTGTGGCTACGAGAAAGGTCAGGAATAAAGAATCAAAGCTATAACCTTGAGGTGTCTTCTCAGCGGGGGCAATCGTCGACAAATGAGCCAGCAGCTGAAACTGCTCATTGTCACGGACAGAAGAAATGTAATATAACTCGGTGATGAAACCGACGCGGAATAGTGTTACATAATACACACAGCCTATATAATTAACTACGCCAATATTCGACATTAGACAAACTTAATTTCCTGCAGAAAAGGCTGCTTTTGTGTTGGAATAAAATGGCGAAATATGTATTTACACACTAACTTCACATCTACGCACACATTTTAGACAGTTTTCTGCTGTCATGTCACTAGATGTGATCTTTGGGAATGTGATGCATATTGTTGGCCACAAGAAACGATGGTCGAAATGTTTTTCTTAATCTATGCATCCCTCCATAGGTGTGAAGTTGTTGCATAACAATACTAAGTTAACAAATTTTTTACCCCACTATTTTACTCTACAATTAAAACCCTGTGATTTCTGAAGGAAATATAGCACAGATGGAATGTGGAGATGGCTTATTAGGTAGGTTGTGTATATTGCGTAACACTATACCCCCGTACCTATATGTTGGATGTTCTGCAAAAGTTAGTGATATAACCTAAATGGATGAAAAAGTTATTGTTTTATGTTGGATTCGAATAGTTTTGCCGAGTTGACAGTGTTATGACATGTCAGGACCAATAAGCTGGAGTTGAAATCCCAAAATTAAAATGTATTTTGTATGTCAATTTTTTCCTATGCCGTAGAAATGTAAATTAATTAGTGTAAGCATATAAAAGCATTAACTATAGAAGCTAGGTTAAGTGCAATATTATAGCATGTATTTAATTGCTATCTTAAAAGTATATGAGCCACATTTTTAAGCATTGATTTTCATGGCTTATTTACTTGCCTTTTTCGATGTAAATGTTAGGTACATCGAATCCCATCCCGAATGCCTATAAGCCAGCTTATGTTGAGGCAGAATGGTATGACTGGTGGGAGAAGCAAGGATTTTTCTCCCCCATGGTAAGGAGCTATTAATAGATGTATCGATTTAACAAACAAATGAAAAAATATAATACAAATTACAAATGTTGTCAGCTAATGGAAAACCATACTTAGTACATCATCATGTATACCTTCTAACCACATCCCATATACTCCTTCTAACAATGCATAATAGCAAATTGTATGCAGGCAAAATATAACTTAAAAGAAAAATTATATAGAAATAAACAAATACACATAAAAAAAACTGCAAATACATCATTGATAATTAGGTGAAAATTAATCAACTGCTTGTATTGTAGTGTTATATATTTTAGTATTGCAGTGTTTTATTGTTTCAGAAAAGCAGTGATATTGGGACCACCGCATACACGATGATAATCCCACCGCCAAATGTCACGGGTACTCTACATCTGGGTCATGCGCTCACAAATGCTGTTCAAGATGCCTTAATCAGATGGCAGGTTTCATAGCATTTGCTCTGGCTATTGGTTTCTCTATTTACGCCATATAATAGAAATTAGTATTTTATACTATCTAGGAAAAATACATTTATTACTCATCACACATCACAAATCCCATCCATTGTGATATTCAAACACTGAAATATCTCTACACACTAACCAGTCAATAATTTTTCATTGAAAATATTTTTCGGTCAAAATAATTGTTCAATAAATATCATTCATTATTTGGAGGTTGATATTTATTCCATGGTCCGGCTCCTATTTTCTACAGAAAATAAGTGCTCGTCAGTGTTACCATGTGAATTTCGAATCACCTCTCCATATGTATAATTGTGGTAGTTTGTGGCATGTGCAGGCATAGGATGCAAGGGAACCAAACGCTGTGGTTACCTGGCTGTGACCACGCCGGCATAGCAACACAGGTTGTCGTGGAGAAGAAGCTGTCGCGAGAGCAGCGCGTGTCACGGCATGAACTCGGGAGAGACGCTTTCATCGAAGAAGTGTGGAAGTGGAAACACAGGTGGCATTCATAGTTATTAGCATACAATATCATAGATAAAAAAGTCATCAGTAAAGTTATCATGAAAATTATTGTTTATATTAAAGTTACCATAACAGTATGATGTCAATAAGTGTCTATGATTATCCAAATATAAAAGCCAATTATTGCAATTGCTGTTAGTTTTGTATGATAGTGTGCGGAGTATCTGTATTATATGGTAAAGTGTGGAATGTCTTTGTTATATGATTGACTATGGAATATCTAATGACTCAATATTAGAGTGTGGAATATCTGTTGTATAGAACAGGGTATGGAATATCTGTAAAATACGATAGACTGCGGAATATCTATGCTATTGCAGTAAAGGTAACAGGATATATGAGCAGTTAAAGAGGCTTGGATCATCCCTCGACTGGCAGAGAGCCTACTTTACAATGGATCAAGTAGGTAGCCTGTTATTGTAGTTGGATTTATGAAATGTAGGCAAGTAAAGACAAAAGGTGAGAGAATGATTACAAACACAAGAAGAGCAGAGAAGATTCCAGGGTTACATTGTTTTGAATTTGGTTTGATTTATTTTGAATAATATGAGTTATACTGACATTACTTAAAGAATTAAAACTGTAACTATTAACAATACAAAACATCAACAGTTGAGATTATGGTAAATTATAAGACTGCCTAAAAGATGAGAGAAGTTTTACATCTACAGTGCATCTTTATGAAAACTTCTGTGGTTTATGAATTCGATATTATATTTATTGTAGAAGCTGTCTACAGCAGTGACAGAAGCCTTTGTCAGGCTTCATGATGAAGGTCTGATCTATCGCAAGACTAGGCTAGTCAACTGGTCCTGTGCGCTAAAGTCTGCGATATCTGATATAGAGGTTTGTAAATGTATAAAATGCATCTTATACTTAAATTGATGACATTGTTTTTGTTGAAATACATGTTGTGACTATATCATTGTATTCCATTTTGCCATAAACGATGCTATGGTGTCTAGCGACAGACGTGTAATGTAGGTTTCATTTGCGCTCTGCTTGCAAAAGGCTCGATAGGAGTGCAATGTTTATGCTTCTAGGTGGACAATCGTATAGTAGAGGAGCCAACAACACTTGCTGTACCTGGGTATGACAAGAAAGTAGAATTTGGAGTCTTGGACTCGTTTGCATATACTATCAAAGATACAGGTAACAATCCTGTAATGTAGGGTGCTGCTGTTGATTAGGGTTATAAGGGAATTTCTTTGAAGAACAATTTCTCTCTCATCATGAAGGCTTGAAAGTAAAGTCCCATACTTGGTACTGCCCCAGTCTGGTGTTGGAATTAGTTAAGAACATTTTCCCTGGTACACATATGTGCAGATGAAGAGGTGGTAGTGGCCACAACTCGACTAGAAACCATGCTCGGAGACACTGCTATCGCTGTCAATCCAGATGATGACAGGTACCGCCATCTACAGGGCAAGCATGCTATACATCCGTTTTGTGATCGTCTTGTGCCTATCATCTGCGACTCTCACGTTGACAAGGCATTTGGTACAGGTAGGCCATAAACACTGTTATCAGTGACTACTTTATAATGAATTGATTTTTAGTTAGCCAAGGGAGTGAACTACAGATCAAAACTCTATTTATTGGTTGGGAAGGAAATTCATACACTTACTTCTACACACATTGCTACTGTCCAAATAGTTTTTCTTAAACATTTTATAACATTATGAAACATTATATTCTAAAAGTTTATCATCTCATTCTCTCTCAGTTATAAGCGCAACCTCACTATAATATATTTGTAGTATGTCTACTATAACCTTGCAACCATGCCCTTCCATTCTTACTGACAAGACTTCATTGTGGTGACATGCTTGAGGTAATAATCTGATTTACACAGACGAGTAGTACCACCACACATCATGTGATTTCCATTATTATTATTATTATTATTATTATTATATTATGTAGAGCCCAGTGCATCTTGACAATTTCTGTCCATAGGAGCTGTAAAGATCACACCTGCACATGACTACAATGACTATGAGATTGGGGAGAGACGTCGCTTGCAGACTGACACTGTTCTAAATGAAGACGGACATATTGCTCAGCACTGTGGAATGTTTGCCGTAAGTAGTTACTTATTACTTGTAGTGTTCTTTCATCTCTTCCTGTTTGACGGCTGTGAGTGATGATTGTGTAGTGCCATTAGACAGGTGTGAGTGTTCTATTATAGCAACTTTCTCTATTGCAATGTAGTTGAATCTTGGATGGATTATATCTCTCTTCCTCAGGTTGCGGACTTTCTCTTTTTTTGTTCTCTTTCTCTCTCTCTCTCGCTCTCTCTCTCTCTCTCTCTCTTTCTCTCTCTCTCTCTCTCTCTCTCTCTTCTCTCTTATCTTCTCTCCCACTCTCTCTCCCTCACGCTTTTCCCTTTCTGTCTTGTTATGGCTCTTGTTTGTAGTCTTTAATTTGAACCTTTATTTTCAGATATTTATGCAATGTTTACCTGTGTGATTCAGTACACTGTATTGTTCCACATACATGTTTTTTGGCTTGTCTAGAGACTTGTGGACTAATGCTGTATTTCCCCTCTATTGCAGGGCATGAGAAGGTTTGATGCAAGATCGGCAGTACGAGAGCAACTTAAGAAACAAGGGTTGTACAGAGGAAGTAAGAAACACTCCATGGTCCTACCTATTTGCAGGTATACCATCAATCATTGCTCCATGCATTAAGATATGTTTTCACGTAATAATTTCTCATGTGTGCATCAATTAAGCACATTTTCATGACTGTTTGTACTTTGCATCTTGATATCAGGGTGGCTATTTGATAACATATATAGTTGCACCAGCTTGTGCAAAATATATCGTATTATTCACTCTGTGTTTTTATTAGCCGATCAGGTGATATAATAGAACCACTGCTCAAGCCTCAATGGTACATCAACTGCCAAGAGATGGCAGCACATGCAGTTGACGCTGTGAGGTCAGGAGAGCTGCACTTTGTTCCGTCCTACTATGAGAAGACATGGTTCGAGTGGTTGGGAAAAATTCGGTAAAACCCATTTAACGATACTGTTCAACAGTGCATGCAAACACGGCTGTATGCGTTCAATTATAGACTTGATCTTATTGACAACGTGAGTGGTCAGGACCTTTCTTGTACATAGTCTAGTTAATTAGCTCAGAGTAAAGGTTTTTCATATCATGAAAGTATGACTGATCTATGCATTTATTATGTGTCTTTATAGGACGATATGGGCTAGTTTTGTTTTACTCTGCGTTCTAGCTAAAATGTTGATTAAAATACTTCACACGAGAGATAAAAATACATTTTCTATCATGGAACTTATTAGCATCAGGCAGAATTGATATATCGTTCGATTTTATCAACTTCTTGCAGTGACTGGTGCATCTCAAGACAGCTGTGGTGGGGCCACCGCGTCCCGGCTTACCGTGTCCTCACCCCGACCTCACACAGAGAGGAGCTGTGGGTGAGCGGGAGGAGCGAGGAGGAGGCGAGAAGACGGGCAGCGAGAAAGACAGGGATGCCAGTCGAACACATCACACTGGAGCAGGACGAAGACGTGTTGGACACGTGGTTTTCCTCGGCTCTGCTCCCCTTCTCATCCCTTGGATGGCCGGATCAGGTGAGTCCAGCTCGTTCGGTCTAATAGGAATATCGACTCACATATGAAATGGTGTAATTCCGAAATCAATTGAAAATTATTACTGACATGATGGTTTGGATAACCGATCTGTTGTTTTTGATGAAGTATTATCGAAAAGTGTGACAACAGATAAACAGGTGATGACAAATTAAAGACAGATCGGTTTTTAAAACTGTCATGACAGTAGTAATATTGGCTATATTTTACAATGAAATTATCTTATGTTATTATACAATGAAATTCAATGACTTTATTCCAAAAATATCTATTTACATTTTCATCATTGTGTCACGGATAGAGTATTGACAGGCAGTCTACTGTACAAGTGATGTTGCAATGAATGATTGACTTTTATATTTTAAGACAAAGGACCTTCAGAGTTTCTACCCTCTGTCATTGATGGAGACAGGTCATGACATACTGTTCTTCTGGGTGGCAAGGATGGTCATGCTGGGCACCAAGCTAACGGGCCAGCTTCCCTTCAATGAGGTATATGTAGCAATGTCTTTGGTCACAGTTCATTAGTAAAGACACCTGCTAAAATTTGCATGTGAGGTGTTCATTGCTTGGGACTTTACATATGACAAATATGATATAAGTACATGGCAGCAGCGTTCATATCGGTTCTTACCGTTTGTGTTCATTTAATAAAAAATAAAAACTCAAATTTTCACAATTGTCCATGAATTGTATTACCTGCACTGAAGAAGATGATAGGGCAGCATTCCATAACCCAATGCTCTGACAGGCACAATTTTTATTGTCAAACTAGTATATATCATAGATCTATTTTTCAGTTTATACAGCTGTATATGTTCTTATGGATAATCTTTTCTACGTATTGCAAGATGTCCTAAGTGTTCCCTATATTAGCGGTATGGAACACCTATGCGGTAGTTCTGGAGGCATGTTTCACACGTTTACAGGTGCTCATGCATGGTCTAGTGTGTGATGCACAGGGGAGGAAAATGAGCAAGTCGTTAGGCAACATCATTGACCCCCTGGATGTCGTCAATGGCATCAGCCTTCAGGTAGGTATCTCAGTAATGATACATATGTGCATTGAAATGCACTCTTGTGAATTGTAAGAAACCACTTTACCTTCCCTAGACAATTCAGAGGGTGCTGAAGAATACTCGCAATGACATGAAAAGATTTCATGGTTATACAGTGGGAGGTATATGAAGTGAAGTCTTTGTGCTATAAGGTGTCTGGTATGGTTTCATATCGTTTCCATACATGAGGCATGTAGTACTTCTTTAGTTATTTAGTAGTTTTCCCCTCTAAATCTTCACTCATACTTCCTTACTATGTTGTTGTGGCCAGGATCTGCACAGGCAGGTTGAACAGAGCAATCTGTCTAAGCAGGAAGTCGAGTTGGCCAAGAAGGGTCAGAAGCAGAATTTCCCAGCTGGCATTCCTGAATGTGGATCAGATGCCCTGAGATTCGCCCTATGTTCGCACAACATTAAGTGTAAGTTCTCACTCACCTGATGTGTAAAAACTGAAGAATTTCCGTTCCTGCTGCCGTCTTACTTTGTTGTAACTGTGCATGTTTGGCTCCGTTGAAATGTTGTAGCAGAATACATCGCGATTTTTCAAGATACAAAATCGGACAATTGCATCGATGCTTTCAGCTGATTTTATCAACGTCGATGTCTCCCAGATCCACAGCTATCGCCTATTCTGCAACAAGATCTGGCAAGCTTTTCGTTTCATGCAGATGGCTGTGGGACCAGATGATATTATCATTCCTCACCCCTCGGTACAGTGTGTTATGATTGCAAAACAATTTCGAATGTGTAGTTATCAACCAGCAGCTCTTGTTGATTACATATGATATGCCTGGGAATAATGTCGTCAGGTTGTCATCAATGTCATCTTGATAATATTTCAAATGGTAATTTCAAGATATATCTAAAAATATTTACTGATAAGACAAAACTGTCAAATCAGCAAATATTTTGCATTTGTCTAAAAATTAAATGTTTGTATACAAATGAAATGCTATTTGCATTGCTCTTTCAGGTATGCAGTCTTAGTAATGTCGATTGGTGGATACTCAGCAGGCTCCATCTGCTGGTGAAAACTTGTAATGAAGCTTTCAAAGCCTATGAGATTCACCGTGCCACCAGGGCGCTCCACCAGTTCTGGTACGGGGACTTCTGTGATGTCTATCTGGTATGTACTGGCACATTTCTTGAACTCAGCTAGTTGACTAACCAGATGGTTGCTCGGATGTAATGGAACAAAAGGGTGCAAAACAGTGTTGTGGTTGTGGTAGCTGTCCTGTTTTTATGTAATTTTCATTTATTTTGAGAAATCATTAAATGAACATTTTTATTGTGAAAAATTTACCCAGTTTCAGTTTTTGTACTCGATGATGGTGCAATAAACATATATAATTGAATTTTTTGACATCTAACTGTTTAGCCGCCAGCCTTGCTAAATGTTCACAGGAACCTTTACATTGTACATGAAGTAGTGTAGTGTGTATAGTAATCTTTAGTAGTGCATGTGTTATCAGCCAACAGGAATGCATAATGATGAAAATAAAGCATCTATACTTTTCTATTATTCTAATAAAAATTAGTCTTTTGGTTTTGCCATCAGTCTGATTAAATGACGACAGTTGTCCCGTCCCGGTGTCACTAATCTTTCCCGTCGACAGGAATGCGTGAAGCCAGTGCTCTACAAGGAGTCGGCAGCGGAGGCATCATCGGATGAGGAGGCTGAGCATCGAGAAGCCATCCGGGCAGTGCGAAGTGTTCTGTGTCACTGTATAGACACGGGACTGCGAGCGATCGCACCGTTCATGCCCTACCTGGCGGAGGAGCTGTATCAGCGGCTGGCACCCTCTATACAGGACCCAGCAGCCAGTGTTTGCGTTGCGCCGTACCCACGTGTGGAGGAGGTGAGGGGAGGAGAAATTATACGATTATGACTCTACCTTAATATTAGTACCACTGGTATTCGATAGTTTGCAAATGTAGTTCTTCTTGAGACGTAGCTCGTCTCTAGTAGTCTATTAATGGGTCCATGTATAATAGTTTTCGATTCAATGTTTGCGTGTTGCAAGTTGCATATTGGATTTACAATGTTTTATTTTTTATTGTTTATCGTATGAAAATAAAGTGTTTTTTATTGCCTTTTCCATGTCCGTTTCAGTACGAATCATTTTCCAACAGCAGACTGGAGGAAGAGATGCAATTTGTGCTGGAGGTTGCCAAGCATGCGAGGGCTGTGCGGACGGAGTATAACCTGACAAAGACGAGAGCAGACTGTATGTATTCCTGCTATTTGCTGTGGCCATTGAGTCTCTTCAGTGTTTCAGGATTGATGCTGATAAATAATTAGCTATTACATATAGCTAGTCCCCGAAGTTTTCCGCAAAGCGGATTTTCCGCGGAAATCGCGAAACGGGAGGAGAAAGCGGAAAAAACTCAGTCTTGAAAAAAGATGTAAAAATGAACGGACTAGGAGCCTAGGACACACTGTGCGATTTTCTACGCTGGCCGCTTGCGATCGATAAATACGGTGCCGGGTCGGGCGGGCGCGCGTCTCATGGCAGCGTAGCTGTACGTGAAACTCGTATGGCGTTCTAAATCTATTAGCTAGCGTATTCAAAACTATTCATGCATGGCGAATAGCAAATTTTATATAAAATTTAGAATGGCAAAATTTAGAAAGCAGAAGAAAGCAGAATTTGAGATTTGTAAAGCAGAAGAAAGCAGAATTTGACATTTAGAAAGCAGAAAACTTGAGGCACTACATATAGCCAACACATTCACACGTGTGCATGTGCGTGCGTGTGCATTTATAAAAAATATAAAGTTCTAAAATTATGTGATGTATTATTAATGACTTATATAATAGTATGTATATGTAGTATAATCATAAACCTCTCTTATCTGATATAAAATATACCATAGCACTGTCTTCAATAAGAATCTTACTATTGATAATTATTCCTCACCACACTCTAGAGTTTTCCATTTAGGGCTGCTTAGTGTAAAGATGGCTCTTTGTTTTTAGTGTATGTGGAGGTTAGTGATTCTTCACTACTGGGTGCTCTTCACTCAACATCTGCAAGAACAAGTGAGCAGCAGGCAGCAACATCATGGCTTCTGCCACTACAGACGCTTTCGTTCTCGAGATCGGTCACCCTCCTGACCGAAGCAACACGACCTAGTGGTTGTGTGCAGACCATCGTCAACAACAACTGCCAGATCTTTACAGCTCTGAAGGTGCGAACGTTTGACGGGATTTTTAAATTATTCCAGAATTTGGATTGTGTACTTCATAAGCATCTGATTAGTCATGCTGGTACTTACGTGATCATTAATAAATTACAGGAGAGCGTTGAGCACAAGTCTGATATATCAAGGTACTGTCGTGTGGGTGCCGCCGATGCCTATCAGTCCTTATATCATTATTCATGCCTTATATTATCCTTATTCATGCCTTATATCAGTCATTGGTGGGGAATAGAAATTCAAAATAATAAAGTGGCCCACCATTTCAAAGTTTTCATTCAGAATAAAAAAAGCAAAACTTCAAAAGGCTTCCACTGCGTATTACCTCTGATATCCACGATGCCTTTTTTTGATAGCTACCTTTACTATAGTAACCAACTGTCATAATCTGTTTTGCATTTGACAGGGATTAGTTGATGTCGATAAAGAGAGGGAGAGATATGATAAGAAGATATCGAAACTTTGTGCGGAGATCAACAAGACAACTAAGAGGCTAGTGGAGAAGAGGCTTTCAGAAGACCAGAGACTAAAACTATCAGACAAGGTAAGATGTGCCACCCATTCTGACTCGAATTGTTCATGGATACACTATAATAGAAATATAGAATAGATCTATAGAGAAAAGTTCTGCTGACAATGGCATGGCAATGGTCTTCTGGGCACTTTATCAGAAACGGTTTATTCGTATTGTTAGACTTCGTCATGAGTTTTCTCAAGTGTTTCAATAGTACTAATTATTATCATAGAATTAGGATGTTTTTGACAATGGCCCTCTGTTATTTTTTGACAGAAATCGACTCTGGAGACCAAGCTAGGGCATGTACATCGAGCAGTAGCCAACTTGGAAAGTATATCGTGACCACGTGGGGTTGCTAATCTTGCAATTTGTTGTTGTTATCATGTGTATAATAGTTCATGATAGTACACGTAGTAATGGCATGTAAAATACTATACCAGTGTTCACAGAAAGCTCTTCAAAATACTGCAACGAATGACCCTAAGCAGAGTTGTATAGTAAATGCCGATTTTTTATGAGTATATATAAACACTACAAGATATCATTGGGTGCAACAAGTGAGAGAATTAGTCTCAGAATACCCCATTACAAAGATAATACGCTTTCAATCTTTAGATTGCTTACAATTGTTCACAAAATACTAGTCAATATAATACTATTTTGCTTTGCAAATTAAAGTTTTTATGCGTTTACATGTTACAAGAATTGGTGATAAAAACACAGTCAGTCCTACACAAATCGTGCTTAGCTGCCCTCATCTGCTTAATCACAGTGACAGATAAAAACTACTCATGGATGTATAGAATTGTTAAGAAAAAGAAACGGGTAAAAAGCTAATAAGAAAGTTGCATCGATATCTAAAGAGCATACTATTACTATTAAGAGGAGGTTTTAAGATAAACTATTTTCTAGACACATACTTTAAAAAAAAACACGCCATTAAACTACTACTAGTACTATGTTTGCATTATACTTGCCTGAGGAATAAAGACTACGGTTTTCTAAAGACTAAACTATTACCTCAAAGTACTACATTATCAGTCAATAATAATATACCTTACATGAACTAAATGATATGGGCCAGTGGAGCACTTCATGGACAGTTGGATGAGGAACTGGACATAGAAAACCCTGGTATTAAATATTAATTGAGAAAAAATTTGAGCGTAATACTCTCATAAAATGTACACATTGTACCATCATTGAACTTGATGAAAAGTGATAGTAGCACCTCAGCACAGTATTGTCAAGGTTGTGAACATATTAGATAGCCTTGTTGTTGCCTATCTGGCAGGTACTCGAGAACGTTCACCTAGAAAGGTAAATAAAGTCAGTCCTGCCAAGAGTTCTTCCAACGACACGAAACTCGACTGTGAGGCGTGTGCCCTTGCGCATGCATTGGTGGCGCTACTGCTGCACGAACGTCGTTCAACGCGTGTAGGGGGCGCCGCACCGGCTACTGCAGCGCAAACATGCGCACCTCGTAAATCTCCTTCGGGAACCTCCGCTGCTTCTCCTCTTTGAGTATGCGCAGGCCGGCGCGGTGCATGCACTCCATGTAGGCGTCGCGCGGCCGAGTGAAGCTTGAGTCGTCGGCGTCGAACACCGACGCCGCGCTCGAACCCATGTTGTCCTTGACGACGATGATGCCGTGCTCGCGCAGCCCGGCGCGGCAGCGCTGCAAGAACGCGACGAGGTCCGCGTCAGTGAGGTGCCCCAGCACCCACTGGCACCAGATGACGTCGTACGAGCCCGGCTCGGGCGTGAACTCCTGCAGGCCCGTGCAGATGAAGTTGCCGACTCGTTTCGCGGCGTCGCCCATGTAGACGGGCGCCTCGGCGAGAAACGCCGGGTTCACCTCGACCATGTCGACCGAGTCGAAGAACGGCACGAGCAGCTGCTTGGTGATGCGTCCGATTCCGGCGCCGCAGTCAACGGCGCGGCTCCGCCCCACGCGACCTTTGTTACCCTGAAACACGTGGAAACAACGCGGTGTGTGAATTAACGCGCGCTCGTCCACCTTATCGTGGCCCCCCCTTGTGCAGCCGTGGTGTGCGATCGATGTGGCTGCACTGCTCTACACGTGGACAGGGGAACACACGTGGCTTCATGATTTGTTGACATTGCACCGGAGACGGTTCCCCGATGCAGTGAATCAGCAAAAAAACCCACGTAAACACACAGTCATGTAGAGTGCAGGACGCAAAGCGAAAACGACGATCGCGTCTACTCTGTCACCTACATTCTCATCTCCAGGAGTGAACAGGTAGAAGAAAAATACATGTACCCACAGTTTTCCAACGAGTTGAAATCGATACATATGTGTAGACATATTGAGGCAAAATTAAAAACATGGGTCTTCCTGACTTAGTAAGCTCCACGTTCAGTGTTCCCGAATTTAAACGTAAAATGAGTAAAGGGAAACAATTTTGATAGGTCAACAGATGCACCAGCATGAGATTTTTTTACCAGCCTACACATACACGTGGAAAACTCTGGATACATACCAGTCGCTGCGCATCTCTAGAACTCGAAGAAGTGGCTTCCTTCTGTCTCCTGCATATCCTGCTCTGCTTCTCCTCCCATACTAGCCGTGCCCCTCATTAATGCCAGCAGCTCTTCCACATGATCATGACCAGGTGGTTCCTTGGGCAGTGTGTTTGAGATGGCATCGCCCAACACTGACGGCATAGCAACCTCCTCTTCCCCTTCCTCATCACCATCAACAGGTGTGGCTTCGTCCCACAGCTCAGCTAGCCGCACACTGTAGGAATCCTTTGAATCGTCACGGCGACCAAGCGACTCCAGCTCCCGCAACAGCTCGCACTCCGCTGGCTCCTCCATCTGTGGAAACGTCCCCTCTGATGCCATCGCGCACAGCTTCCCAGATTCGTTTACGCGTACACCGCATCGGGGACAGGTCGTGTCGCCGGGCAACCAGGATTCGGCCTTCGCCACGTGTGCATTGCAGAGGTGGCATCGCTCGTTTGCGGCCGACGTGTGCACGAATTCGGCCAGTAGTAGCGAGGTGTCGACGTGGACAGTGTTAGTTAGCTCCTTCACGCACCCGCTCTCCATTAACTGCATCTCCACCAAGCAACACCATTCCCTGTACTCGTCAACGACGTCGTCAGTGAGCTGCGGATCGCCGAATCCCTCACGCAGCCGGCAAGTGACGTCCGCGTTCACGTCCTCGGAAGTCGCGTACGTCTGATAGAACGCGTCGCCGTACAGCGAGTATTGCACGACCGAGAAACCGTCCTTAGAATAAGGGACAAGGCAAGCGCCGATGATAGGTGCCTTTTCAAGCCGGTCTAGGACATTACGTTCAGTGAAGAACCCAGCTCGCTGAGCTCCGTGCGATCCGTCCGAGATGGGAGCGATCATCCAAGGCGGGAGTAAACTTTGAGGAGCTTCGCCGGGGACTGCTGTCATGTGGAACATAAACGGGGGAGCCGGGCTCTGGCCCCCTAGCAGGATGGCGTTATCATCGTCGCTTTCAATGCCGCCGTGCCACGGAAGAACGTTGATGTACCGTGGCTGAGTGGCCAGCGAGTGCCCCCACTCAATCATCGGATATCCCGGGAATCGCTCATCGACGACGAACAGACTGTGGTCGGTGGCGACGGCATGCGCAAAGAGTGCGAGGGGTTTCATCGCCCGCACGCGCTCGTGGTGCTGCAGATACGGCGTCGGCAGCACAAACAACGCTCCGCCGCCACCGCCGCGCGTTCTCGCATCGATCATCTCAACACCCGTCCTGTCCGCAAGCACGTACCGCTGAGGGTGTCCGCCGTACTCCACCTGCCACCAGATGTCGCTGCACGTAAAGCGCGGCTCGCGATCCCGACAAACGACGCCGCACCGACCCGCGTCCGCGTTCCAGCTCTTCAACGTTCCCGACGCGAGCGCAACGATGCAATCGCCTACGACGTATGGACTCGCCACTGCCGACAGGGGGCGCTCTTCACAAGCAAGATTCCAAACGTCTCCCACGAACGTCGGTAACACAGGAGCGCCCCCTACATCGTCGATGACCGGGATCATGGACACGGCCTCTCTGTGAAGCACGACGACATACCTGTGATCTTGGCATCGGCTACTCGCAATGCCGTGCAGTGGCCCAAGAGTTAGCGATGTCGTCGTCGTCGGACGTAACCGCTCGCCGTTGCCGTGAGTTACGCTAGTGATGGACACCGCATCAAACAGCGGCCCCGAGAGGTAGACAAGTGCGCCTGAGGCGTCGGTGTCTGCGTGCGGGTGCAGGTAATCTATGCAGTTGCTGGCGTGGCGCCACCTGTCGAGTTCAGCGAGATACGGAGCAAGTTTGTCATTCTCGTCTTTGAGTTTGGTCAGCCAGCCTGGAACGCGTAAGTTCTTCACATCTTCCTTCGTGAACCAGACCTTGTCAGGATCGCTAAGACGAGCCTCGATCTTCTCCAGTCGCGAGAATTGCGAGTCCTGCCCCTTGGAGCATGGTGTCTTTAGTAACTTTGACGACCTTTTCTCGTTTTCCTCGATCGACTTTTGCCGCTTGCCGGCATTTATTATTTCTTTAATTGTGAAGCTGTCTGTAGTTGGCGGCAGAGACAGGATAGGCCGGATACATGTCTTTGCTACTAGTCTTTTTACGGTGCAGTGCTCCTTCTGTGCACGTGCTACAAAAGCTTCCCCATCGCCATTGTTATTGGCTATAAGATCCACTCCACAATAGTCTCCGTACTCTGCAAAGGGATTGGCTCCCTGCGTGTCCTTTAGATTCCAATACGTAAAATTTGCTTTTGGCAGCATTTTACAATAGTTATAACTAGAAAAGAAATTATGGAAAATTTCAAATCTCGGACCGATTTCATTATTCGCAATGCTCTACGATGCTCTAATTTTTCTGGTGCTTGGATGGATAGCCACTTGAACATATGTTTTCCACACATTAGAAGGACATGGACACAAAATGTGCTTCTGACGCACAGACGAATGTCGATCCATGCCCTACAGCCATATTTATAATCAGTGAGACAGACCATAGGGTTTATAGTTGATGTTAGGGGGACGGGTCTCACAGGCTTGGCTTAGGTCCTAAATTCACATCAATTTAAAAAAGACTAGAGTAGAAATATTTAAATTGAATAATTACAATTTACAATATTACACTGTCACTTGCACTTTACAAGCTCTATAGAGTATCAACATCGACAATTGAAGCATAGCAACTACTAACATGTACCCGCACCGGTAAAAAGATGGGCCCACAATCACAATGCCAATGTCACCACAGCCACTTGGAACGTCTCAATAAATAAAAAAGGTAAATAAACACGAAATGTATTTACTACCAAAGTCTTAATGTTTCTCTACTCTATTTCGCCTATTATTGCCGATAATTACCCGTAAATGCCGGTCAAATGCTTATCTGCAACACACAAGTACACCGCATGCCCGCCCTGTGCACAAACAACATGAATAAGAGAGCAGGTAGGAAAGCGTGATCGCAAAATTCGCTCGACGTTCGCTTTATTTCACACCTTTACAGCACGAATACACATCCAACAGCTTCCATCTTGGTATCTATGTGTAGCTAAATGTTCACTTGTTCGAATTATAACTCTGTCCTTTGTTCTTACCTACTCCCGCCAGAGATATCTCGTGAAATCCTGCAGGAAATGTTCTCTCCGTGAAAATGTAAAGAGGATGTAAAGAGGATGTATCATCCGAAAAACCCTAACGGCGCTACTTTCGATCGATCACTGTAGTCGTGTGTGTGACGTCATGCCCGCGCGCATTATGCTTGGCTTGGCGGGCCTTGAAACGGAGGCTCCAATGCACCATAAAACAGGAGGTTCAGGCACGTGATTTGTATCAACCAATGGAATTTGGGAGGTATGCAGGCCCTAGCTGCGAGTGGATGTGCATTCGTGCTGTGAAGGCGTGAAATGAAGCGAGCGTCAAGCGAATTTTGCGATCACGCTTTCCTACCTGCTCTCTTATTCATGTTATTTGTGCACAGGGCGGGCGTGTGGTGTACTTGCATTTGTGTGTTGCAGATGAGCATTTGACCGGCATTTATGGGGTAATTATCGGCAATTGCCAATATAGGCGAAATAGAGTAGAGAAACATTAAGACTTTGGTAGTAAATTAAATACATTTAGTGTTTATTTAGCTTTTCTTTTTTTATTGAGACGTTCCAAGTGCCTGTGACTGACAATGTTGCTCGGCTGAAACTTTCAAAACAGTGTCGACTGAGCCAAGGACTGAAGGAGCTAAATATAACTTCTTAATGTTATATTTAGCTCCTTGGACTGAGCCAGCCTCCATGGGCCATGGCATAGGCCATTACCACTTACCGTTACGATCTGTTCCTTCATAGTTAAAAACGGTTGAAGAAACTGTTTAGAACCATGGATGTCTATAAAAGATATTTCACTAAACCCTCCCAGCATACCTTCAACTGTAGCTGGTATTTTTGACCAATAGTTTTTAGCATTTTCATAAAAGTTATCGGGCATGTCAGTGGGCGCAGCCATTTTAATAGACGGGTTCCCTTGTGTAGACTGGTTCCAACTTCCTTGTCAGATTGTCTAGAATCGCTCCACTGCGCATGTGCGGTTGTACCAGTAATGACCGTAAAATTGAGTACTCTCTTGATATAATTTTTATGAAGAGAATATAACATGACGTCGCGAGCATAGCGATTGTATGTGATCTTTGGTATACTGTTCTCATGTTAGGTTGGTTTAGTCATAACTTTTGTCATAGACTTATATATAATCTTTCTGACAACGGCAGCCTGTTGAGCATCTTCCGGTTGTAAAGGCATAACACTTCACAGTGCTGGATGTCTAAAAATGTAAGCAGTGAAACAGCAGCGAGGAAACGAAAGTTACCTTCGTGGTTAATAGCTGGTTACCAAAATGATGAAGCTAACCCACGGGTAAGTATAATTACGTAATCATACGTAATTTTATAATTGCAGTACCAGTACCACTGGCACTATTTGGGCACTAATTGCTAATTGCTATACTAATCACTGAATCAGCGCTGACCAGTGACCACTATAATCACTAATCAACGACAACATTACGCCTTAGCGTAACCGTAACCCTGTATAAACAGACCCCGGTGGTTTACTGCCACCCGGTCCACCCTGACACTGACTCACTGACGCTCGTAGGGTCTATGTCCCCCTGACCTCTGTTTGACCTGGCTCGTTTAGCTATTTCTGACCATAACCCTAACCCTAACCCTATATGTAAAGAGTCACGTGATCGACGGTGGCCAATCGGCGTGATAGGCATTTACAAATGTTCCTAGAATTGTTCGACATTCAGCGCACATTGAAGAACATTTGACGAACAATGTTCGAGATATCAAACATTTCCGATCTTCAGAAACATTGTTCGGTACAAATGTTCGGCGACTTTTTTCACCGCACATTGCCGAACATTTCATGGAACATTGTTACAGTAATGTTTTTGAGCAAAATGTTCAGCAATGTGCGCCGGGCTTTAGACGTTTAGTAAACCTTACCGACCAGTATCTAAACCAATATCTGGTATTTAGTAGCTGATCCTAAAGTTATATTTTCTTACTGATTGTTGCGCGTGCATTGTGCAGTTGTTTTGTGCATGCGTGTAGGCATGCACGTGTGAGCGTTCCTGTGAGCATGTGTGTTTTTGTATGTATGTATGTGTGTGTGTGTGTGCGTGCGCGTGCGTGCGTGCGTGCGTGCGTGCGTGCGTGCGTGCGTGCGTATGTATGAGATATATATCTTACTTTCAAAGCTTTTTAACTATATATATCACAAAATCTGTGGTGTATATGTCACAGAGCCACTATATATCATCTCTGGAATACATAATATCATGATATAT